TATATATTTTGTCGTAAAAAATGCAAAGAAAATAATAAAATACAGGTATAATCATTAACCTCATCTGCTTATTATTATGAACTGTTACTTGTAGGTTAACTACACTGGTACTTATGTAAATATAATGAATTATGGTATCCAATTATAATATAATTAATGTTATTAAATTTAATAAAACAATTTTTATATATGATCGTTTTCAATATTTAATATTACATAAATATATTTTAATGATACTCTGATAGACAGATTTTTTAGGAGTACTAAAATAAAAATAACTTTCAAAATATCTTGAAGTATAACAATAATAATTTAAAGTAAATGTTGATAATTATTTAAAATTTAAGAGATATAATTATGCGTATAATAAAGTATCACGGTTGTATTTGAACTTAAACATGTGTAAAAGATAAGCTAATAAAAAAATCACTCATAACGTTTTATTGATATCATTTTGATGAAATAAAACATTTTTAGAATGACTTACAAAAACTGTTGGATTCGATGTGCATCAATAGCGGAATAATAGATTTAGAACACATTGAAAAAATTCCATTGCTAAAAGCTTGTGTGTTCGAAACGATGCGATTACGGCCGGTAGCTCCATCTGGAATACCTCGATCGGTCAACAGAGAAATTACAATTTCGGGATACCGCATACCAAAAGGGACCATGGTTTTACCATTACAGTGGGCAATGCACCACAACGAAAAGTATTGGACGGACCCTCAAATATTTCGACCCAAAAGATTTTTGGACGACGAAGGAAATATGATAAACAACAAAGCGTTCATGCCATTTCAAGCCGGTTAGTAATTGATAATAAGAAACGTTAATTTTTTTTTAAAACGATTGTACCAAAGTAGTCAATATTATGTAATAATGTTTTCAGGTAAAAGAGCTTGTGTTGGAGACACGCTTTCCTACTGGATACTCTATTTGTTCGGTGCAAATATAATTCATAATTTCAATGTTTCTACAGAAGACGGTCTATCCGAAAAAGAAATTAACATTATCATGGATGGAGAGTTTGGCATAACCCTCAGTCCGGCTCCACACAACATTGTCTTTAAATCTCGAATTTAAGATGAATTGGCGTGCAATTTGTTTTTTAATTGATTAAAATGATTTTTAAATAAATATAGAAACATACAAAATGTTGTAGATACTAAATATTCTAAATATTTTATGTTCATCAAATGTATATTTTTTAATCCGCCAATAATTATGTAGTATTCGGGTATTCCATATCACGGTGATTTCACGAGTATTTTCTGATTTAATATTTATGCACGTTTTTATTAAATATATGACGTCATTCGTTTACAAAAATAAATCGTGATTACCAATCATTTAAAATTTGTATTTAAGAATCGTAATTATAATAACTGCATTCAGGTAAAACAGATTATCCACTCGTGATAATAAATTGATATGATGATACCACTTTATCTCTCTAGATATAAGTGAATGAGTGAGTACATATTATGTGTGTAATCGATTTTCTCTCGTTTTATCCGTGTTTGTAAACAAATTAATTAGTTAATAATTCATGATAACATGTGTAATGCACTTATGGCGGGAAAACGATTCTCTTAATGTAGGAAATATAATGTTCAATTAAATTTTAATACTATGGGTATATAAAAAGTAATAATTAATAACTTAAACATGACCGGTCTGGTCAGTTATGTATATAGGTTATATTGACTATATTATATACTACATCTCATGATGTCTACCAGTTAGTGTTTTTAAAATTATCAATTATCATAATTCATGATAATTATTTTTTTTTCAAATTACTTATGATGAAAAAACAAATAACAGCACGTCCAGTGGTAGATTAATTGAAAAACGGAACATGATCGGTTTATATTATTACACTATAGAACTAGTAATTATTACAATTATAGAGTTCAGAAATTATTTAAAACGTACAAATAATGTAAATTTGAATATTATTGTGATTGGTTTTGAATCAAAATACGAGTAATCAACACAACTTTTAAGCACTTATGTTGATTAAAAAATGCTTTGAAAATAACAATAAAAAAAATCAAAATATAAAATTATAATATTGTAAGTTGTAAAACTCAATGTTTTTTTCGTTTCACAAGCTAGAATAGGTTCTAAAATTTTTAACATACAATTATTATTTTCAGACGATGTTCCTATTTATTAATATTTTTATGATTTAATCCATTTAGGGGATGTTAAGAAATATATTATTTATATATATACAAAGAAGTTTATATATTGAGTATTTAAATCTTCTTTATTACCCTTAAAACAATGATATAACAGTCGATGATCAAATTTAAATAACAGAATAACAGGTATTTTTACCCAATAACCCAAATGAGCATTAAAAAAACAATACATTTATACACGGTAAGTAGGATATTGTGATGTTTTGTATAAAATTACGATTTAAAAATTTACGAGTACTATTTTGTTAGAACACATTTGGTTCATGTGTATTTTTCGAATTTATTAAACGATCAGAAACACCGCAAATGCGAATGCACCTCAAATCGGCTTAGGTAAATACTGCAAATTATTATGACGCATACTATATACTTCTATTATATTTATTCGTTTAATTTTTATCTATCATATTACCTAATAATGATATAAAAATTATTTTATTTTTATTGTACCATTTTATACTATTTAATATTAGCGTATGTGTTTAACTGTGTATACCAATTTTTATACCATGCGTATTTAACTATACTAAAATTAATTTATATTTTGTTTAATTATATATATATTTATATGATATAATAAAGTTATTTTAAATTCCTTATTTTTTTAAATTATACAAATTTCATAAACTTTACTTATTTTTTGCATCAACATATTTTGACAATGATATAAATACAATTAGACGAATGAGAATCAATTTGTTACAAGTGTTTTATACAAAGTCACATTATAATTGGTTATAATTGGTACAAGTTCGAAGGCTAAATTCTCAATGTTTATAAGACTACAATATTAAGGACATAATTGTTTAGTTTCCAACGAATTTTCTAGAAAATTATGTTTTTTTTTTTAATTGTACGAATAAAACGACATAAATATTATGTAATCACATACTTTATATTACCTTTTACAATTATAATATAAAATTATTTAAAATTTAAAATTATGTATTGTTAAATTTCCATTTAATTATATGCAGATTAAATACCTAATAATTAATTTAGTTAAGAATTGTTGGAAAATTCTCGTTTCCTATAAAAGTGTACTTTACTTTAGGAGGCAAATTGATATATTCATGATTTTAATAAAATGTAGTTTACTTTCAAATAGAAAATAAAGTTACTTATTTACATTATGCACATGTTATAGTTATGTCGTTGTTGTTAATTCTTAAACTTGAAGTGTACACGTTCAGTGCGCTGAAATATTTCTATAATAAAGATTTATAAACAAATACATACAACTTGAGGTTATGATGAAAGAGCAGGTGTTGATTGAAAGATGATGTAATTTGTCTCTAAAAATTATTTTTTACCTCTATTATACAACGAGTTCTCCATAAAAGCATTAAGCAATCATATATTTTGTTAATTGGAAGTGTTATGTATCTCATACTTTAAAAATGTCATAGACAATTATCTTGCTTAAGCGTTAAGAAAATTTGTGTACAGAATATTGTGAATAAAATGATAAAATATTATAATGAGGCTACACATTTTTAATTTCTGTTATTTTTCTGTTTTTTTTTTTCAGTTTTATTGCTATGAAATTTGCCATTTTTATATACTAAGACTTGAAAATTTAATACAAGGTTAATTATTATTATTCTAACCAGAACTAAAAAATGTCAATAATAATTGTTTGTTAACTTTAATACTGTGAATGGTGAACAAATTGATAAACAATACAATGTTTTTTCTGAATTATATGAAGTTATTTTTTTAATTTATCTGAATAATATTTTATGATTTTTAGTTTTAAAATTTATATTTTGTATACTATTACATTTTACTTACTCTATGATTAATGTTTAGGTAAAATTTTAAATCCTTAATTACTAATATTGTTCTTGTAAGTGAATTAAAACTATAAACATAATATATAAACCAAAATTTTCTCAGAATCGCTTTTCAAACGTGATGAATTCATTATTGCTTTCAGTATTTAGAGACAGACGAGCGTCTTTTATAAGTTTTGCAGCTTTGTAGCCTTTTTTTTTTACAGCGACAATATTCACGATTGTATTTTTGAATCTTCTATTGGACTTGAGAACATTTTGACATATATAGTGATATATATTATTTAAAAAGTTTAATTAAACCTTAGACAAAATTACTATATATTTATATTTATAACTTCAGGCTTTTTATTATTAACTTGGCAGAGTAGAGTCTTATAGGTTTAAGCTGTTTAAAGTACTTTCTCACACTTTTTTACTAGCAATTTATCACATAAAACCTAAGTATATATTATTTTGAATTATGTGATATTAAACAATGAGATTGATGTTTAACAATAATTTTTAACCTCGGACAGCTCTGACTTAAAAACGATTTAACGGTTCTTAGTCAAATTAGATGTCATTCGTGTCGTATTAGTTGCGTGAATAGTTCCCCTGAAATAAATTAATATAACAAGTAATTGACAAAAACATTTAACATTTAATTTTAATAGGTTGCTTGAACATTGGTAATATAAAAAAAATAACAATTATATCTTCATACGATATAAAACACTACATCAAATAATTTTTACAAAAAATGGTATATGGCACTAAGTACATAAACATATCAATAGGAAAACATGCACTTCTAACTACTTTAAATAAACAAATAAAATCGTTATTTGATAAAACAATATAAATTAAATTAAACTAACTAATCAATAAATAGTATGGTCTTAAATGTTAGAAAATGTATATAATTTATAGGGAACCATGTACAATTGGTAAATAAATAATAAAACATTTTTAAACTAAACAATTATTATGGAGTATTACTCAAATAAATACATAATATTCAATTAAAAATACATAAATAACCTAAATAAGAGGATCTGCGAATAAAAATTAAATTAAATCTATTTGTTACGCGCTTTCATGACGACCTTGAACGATTGTGGAGTTAGTGTGATACCGACTTGACCGTCCATGCTAGGTAATTCATCACCATCAGGTAGACATATATCGAATTCGTGTAACAAGGTTGAAAAGAATAAATATAGTTCCATTTGAGCTAACGTCTCACCCAGACATTTTCTCCGACCTTTTATAAAAAATAAAAATGGAATAACAATTAATAACTATTTTATAAATATAACACATACTTTTATTGTACATATTATGTGTATACATAGTACGATAATATACTGTAATATTTATTCAGAAAAAAATATAATATCTTACCGACTCCAAAAGGTAAAAAAAAATCGGGTTTTTTCACTTTGCCGTCAACATTTATAAATCTCTCAGGATTGAATGCCTCCGGGTCGTCCCATAAGTTCGGATCGTTGTGCACAAAGTGTTGTAAAGGTATGATCTGAGCGCCAGTCGGTATATGATAACCATTGAGTGTTACATCACTGATAAAACAATACAACATTTCGTGAAATTCTCGCACGTGTAATATAATATTTGACAACTATGTTACATATACGAGACGAGAATAAACAATTTACCTGGTAGTTGCGTGTGTTGTGCCTAAAGGCGTGATACTCGATTTCCGCAATACTTCGTTTAAGGTAGCCTGTGTATATGGTAAATTGGGGTAATCATCGAGCACCGGCGTTTTATATTGACCCACTACCGAATCGATTTCCTCTTGCACCTTGGTCATCACATCCGGATAATGGAGCATGTACACCATGGCCCATAAAATCGTATTCTTAATAGTCTCCATACCGGCCGAAAACAAGTCACCGAGAATTTGCTGAACCTGCCGATTCGGATCCAAACCCTGAAATAGTTGGTCCATCGTGCCGGCTTCCTGAGAGCGTTTTATTTCCAATAAATAAGCGTCGATCAGGTCTCGAATATAATTCGGATCGAATGTACTCCTGTGTTCTTCAATAATATTTTGAAAGTATCCGGAGATTTCTCGATGGTTATTCTTGATTTTTTCCTGTATGTTTCGCTCGTCATTAATATGACGTCTCGGCAAAAACAAACTCACCGGCCTCAACATGCCGAACAGCTTGAAACCTTCATCGACCATGTGCATGTATCGCTCGAAGCGCGGGTCGTTCGGTTCGAATCTAACACTCATCGTTATTGAACTAATCACGTTGGTGATGGCCAGACATAACGAACCGGCATTTAGATCTATTGGTTTGCCACAAGTCTTGTGAAATGTTTCCGTTAACGATGACACTTCGATCTGTGTAAAACAATAAATAAATTATTAACAATAAGTGTACATTAGAATTAAACATTTTTAATAATTATTTACAAACAAAAAATAGATCGTTCCTACACGCTTGATTTTTTATTGTATTAAAATTTCGAAAATATTGGTCATCGTTTATAATATTAGTTATTACGAGGTATAATATGTATGTGTTAACGACACGACGTTACTTACCATTATTCTGTTTTCCATGTTCAACCTGTTGTGGCCCGTGAACGTCATCCCCATATGTCGAAGTACTAAATGTAAAAACTTCCTTTGCGACTCCCATAACTTCCCAGTACTATTTACCGCTCCTATACATAAAAAGTAACGTTTCTAATAACAAGTCTGGTCGGTATGGAAATGACACACAGTATTTTATTATTATTATTATTATTATTATTCTAGCCATTATTCGCGTGTCCGCACACGTTGTGTAATGTAGCAGTAGTAGTAATAGTTGCAGTATAGTAGTGGAAGTAGCAACAGTACGAGCCACGTGATTATTTAATAATTAATATTGTGCCGGCGTATAGTATGTCAAAAAAAAAAAAAAATTGCGACATAGTTTCAAAATATTATATTCAACGTGCATGGTATCTCGTCATCTCGAGGACACGCGTATATATTTTACTTGAATAAAAATTTTACAAAAAAAATAAATTAATAGCTCATACCGGTACACGATATAATTTTATAATAATATTAATAATATGCGATTAAAAGGTCGATTTACGACATAACGATGACGAGGAAAAAAAACCCACGGTAAAAGTTACAAATAATTGAATTTGATTTGGATATACGTACACTATTGCTTTACACACTCACGCCGGTCGTATGCCGCCAATGATAACGTCGATTTCTCACGAGCAACACAAAACGCGTTGCCACCTACCTATGATTATCGGATGAAATAATCAAACATCGACTTACCGTATCCGCCGATGATGTCCATGTACCCGTCGTTGGGCCGGCCGGTGATCTGCTTCATGTCGAACGCGGTCTTGATGAGCTTGTGATCGCTGAGGAGTATGACGGTGTTGCCGCGCTGCGTGAACGAGCATATGGGCCCGTACCGGCGGGCCAGCTCGTTGTACTTGAGGTACGTGCAGTGGTTGGACAAAAACGGCGCGTACCCCAGGAACGGTACGCCCCACGGCCCGGGTGGCAGCGTCCTGGCGGCCCGCAGTTGCTGGTACGCCGAGTAGGTCAGACCCAGCGCCGCGGCGATCGCGTTCAGCCACAGTTCGCGGCTGTATCCGTCGCCGTCGGACATGGTCTCGGCCGTCATCTCGCGCCGTCTCCGTCGCGCGGAGAACCGATGTACCCGACGCGAACAACAAAACGGGGCGAACGGACGAGGAGATATGTATTTGGGCAACGTTCGTGACGGACGTTAAAAATATTAAAATATCATAAAATATATTATATATTTGAATATGTATATTATGTATGTATGTATATCGGATGGCTGTATAATGTTTATACGAAACGACGTTTATTTTTATTTTTTCAAAAAATCACTCCCGACTGCAATGATAACGGCGAGCGCGCGAAAGTGCAGTACACAAAACAAATATAATAATTTATATATTAAAATATATAATATTATTAATGGTGATGGTGATGGTGATGGTGATGGTGATTGTGATGGTGACGGCGATGGTGAATAATAATATAATGTGCGGTATAGCAACAGCGTACTGTGTATTCTGCAGTCGGTGTTTACGCAAGAGACGCGTGCGTCGGCATCGAAGAGTTGGGATCACTTTTGAAAATAATCGTGGGAGAGTACTTCTTTTGGTCTTTTATAATATATCGGGGTGTCGAAAGCCCATATAGTAGGGATAGGCGTGTGCGTGCGTGTGTGCGTGCGTACGGGCGTGCGTGTGCGCGAGGTAGGTACACCTCGTAGAATACATATTATATTATATACGCCCGGGTATAGGTGTAGGTACAGGTGTGTGGCTCGTGTGTGTGTGTGTGTATGCGTGTGTGTGTGTACATAGGTATAGGTATTCACCGCGTGCATAGCTGCACGTGTGTGAGTGTGTGTTTTCTTTCTTTTTAAATATTTTGTTGTTGTTTTCTCTCTCTCTGACCAGCGCGCGAGCGGTTGTAGGGGGATACCCACGATCCGGGGCGGCGGCGGAGGAGGAGCGCGAGACGTTCGAGATTTCCTTCCCTTTTTTTTTTTTTTTTATATATTATATTCCTTTTCGTATATCTCACTTTTTCTTGCTCTGTCCCGCACGACAGGTACCCATACGATATTTTTCTCTTTATCACACTCTCTCGCTCGCACACGCACGCGCGCACACACACACACACACACACACACACACACACACGTGCGCGCGCTGGCGGGCGAGCGAACGCGCGCGCGGTCCCTACTCCCAGCGAGCGGTGACGACGGCCCAAAGAGCGAGTTTCGCCAGGCCCCGGCGGTCGTCGCGCGGACAGACGCGGCCGAGCGTTGGGCCGGCGCACACCGCGACCACTGATTATTTATTTCACGCACGTATACATATACATGCACACTTGTAGATCCTCCCAACGGCAAGCCGCGCCGCGCCCACAACACATGTATTTCGAACGAACGTTATTTTTTTAATTTTTTTTTTATAATATTTCACGCTGTACACATAATAAATAAATATATAAATAGTATAATATAAGTGTAAGTATATTTGTGTGTGTGTGTGTGTGTGCGCGCGCGCGCGAGTACGCACTCGTAAGTGTGTGCGTGTTTTTGTTTTGCTTCGAATTGCGATACTTACGTTCTTCGACATATTCTCGAAAACTCAGAAAAACGACGTTGCTTGGTCGTTTAAATAGTTCGTTAGAAAACCAAATAGAGGGATATATAATAATAATAAATAACCAGAACATAGGACACCAGAAACGGCAAGTTGAGATTGGGAACTTTCGCTTTAGACATTTATATACCTATATCGTGTTAACGGTCATTTTCACAAAACGAGTCTATTATATTGTTTTGTTTGTGTTTACGTATGGCAAAATAAACATTTCTATCCATAGAACTTTCGTATATTAGGTAGGTACTACATAATAAATCTACTCGATATCCTGTCCAGTTTGACGTTTACACTATGTTCAATATTTTTATCACATATTTTTTTTAATATTAGTAGATAATAAAGCTTATGAAATTTATTTGTTTGAGTACAAAAAAAAAGTGATTATTTATTGCAATGTACACCAATATTGCATATTTTACAGCTCATATACAGAATAAACACCATTGATCGTTCGGATTGGTTTATAAATTATTTTCTTACGTATATGTTAGATAAATTAATACATAATAATACTAACTATTTTTCATCGATAGTACACTTTCAATATAATAGGAATTATTGATAAAAATATAAATATAATTTAAATATTAAAAATAAAAATATTATATATGTGTAGGTACATTTTTTTTTCTATTTGCTTCATAAAGTTTTTAGTTAGTGGATTTAGAAAAAAAACATGTTCGTTGTATATATAAGCAATATACAACATAGGTACAATGTACCTTTCGACTTTAAATTTGATTTATAAATATTACTAATGTAATAATAGACAAGAGCTATTATTTTTATGATCTTTATTAAATATATACTTCTCTGATAAATCTATCATAAGAATTATTTAGCATTTAAGCAAACAAGCTTTTTAAATTACTTAAGTTATTTTTGTTTATTTATTTACTCTATACAATCATAAAACGGACTATATTCCTATAATTCTAGTTGATAAGGTAATATAACATACATATTACATATTTACATATACATAATAAATATATGTTTAATATACGTTATAATATAATAAACTACAGTGGCTCAGACGCAATAATTGAGTATTTATTTACTTATAGATAAATTGATACTAATAGAGTATACAATTTTATCAGTAGCAAATAATGGGTGCTAACGTACAATAATCTTTAAATTATATTATTTTTTTTACCATAAAATTTTTATTGGGAGTGATGAACCGTCAATTTTATAAACATGTTGAACTTCAGAACATATTTTATGACAATTCATTAGTTCAATGGACAATTAGAAGTTCAACAAAGTATTGTTATTATTATTCATAATCTGTAATATCCTTTTAAAATATGTTAAATTCTCTGAAAGTACATTTATAGAAACCTACAAAAAAAAGCACTTTTTATATTTACTTTTAAAACCTTTAATTTAAAGAAAATTTTACCAAAAGATAACAATGATTCAAAAATAGTTACACTTAATAGTTTGTCTAGTTATAACGTTTAAAATATGGTGATATTGAATATTATTGAGTGTTGAATTGAATCATAATGATTTATTTTGGATTTACTTAATAGAATATATTTACTGTAGATATTAAATATTAAAAAAATTAAAATTGCATCTAATTATTTATTATATTCAAAAAATCTTTAACTATTATTTGTGAAAAAAATTACATTTATATATATATGTATAAAAAGAAATTCATCCTATATACACAAATATTATTAATTAACCACCATTTAGAATCGTTTTTTGAGTGGTATAGATTATGATACTATAGTTTACTAAAAATAAGAGAAAATAAGATTAATTTATAATATTATCTAACTCCTGTGTACGTAGTATCCTGTTTTGTTTTTATTTATATAAAAATATATATTAATTACGGAGCAGCAGTTAAGCCTTAAGTTTCAAATAATTTTATTATAAAAAAATAAATAACTATCAATTTTATATCATCAATAATATAGTACATATACTGTCTTGATTGTCAAGTTATAATATGAATTATTAATTTTAATTTTTTTTTAAATGCACAATTAGATCCCGAAATATATTTTTATAATATGTATTTATTTATCGTAATTCATATAAAATCGATTTTTAAATTAATAGGCATGTATTATTATATAATACTTAATAATAAACTGATGTCTGAGTTATAATTTGTAAATTTATTAGTAATTTATTGTATTAGGTAATATTATTTTTAACTACATAAATAAATTATGTAATGTAATAAACATCACAACACTATTCTTGCAAAAAAGCAATTAAGCGAAAAGTAGTTATTTACTTATTATTGTTGGCATTGTAAAAATCGCCAAACATGTTTTAAAAACCACTAATACATCGCAAAAGTTATTGAATACGCATAACAATTCATAAATTACATTAAGGAACCGTATGGAGAAAAATCTTGGTTGGGTTCAGAGGAATCGTTTGAAATAAAATAAAATAAATTATTTATATTGGTAGAACAATTAGACAATTATAGCGCACTAAACTTCACATTAATAGTAAACTATATTTATTAAAATATAATTTAGAAATTAAATATTATTTTCATAATAGGAATGGATGGGTGAGGACGGTGGGATATTTGGAAAATGTGAGCAACATAAATTTATATTTTAAGGTATTTGCTGATCTAGCTTATTGTACAAAAATGTTAGTCTACTCAAAATAAAAATAATATATTGGGAGGGGGGGAGGGGGTAAGTTAAAATAAATTGTCATTATTGCCTGCTGTAAAATAAATGTATACCTAAAAAATACTTTAAATAGTCTAGTAATTTTAGGGATCTTAAAATGTTAGTGTATTTTGTTATGCATGTACATATCACAGTTTTAGTATTTTTAATATATAGCTACTACTTACTAGGTACTAATACTTCAAAAATCACGTTGCTCAACATTTTCTAATTGATCTTCAATGCTTGAGTAGTTATCATATAAAGCTCCCCGCTAGAGTAACGCTAAAATTAAAAGATAGTGTTCATAAATACATTTTTTTTTAATAATGATATATGTGTACAATATTTTTTTTAAAGTTTTAATATATTCTTGTAATTTCTATAACATAATCTAATACAGTGTAGTATAAAAAATTCAACGGTTAGACAAAATTATAATTTTACGTTACGATTAATCAATATTTAATAAAATAATGATATTAGTTTACAAATTATATGTATTTATGTCATATATATTTAAATAGTTAAACTATTGAATGCACGGATACTTGCACATACTATTATTGCATGTTTGCATTTCTATTAATGCAATAACTAAACGTTAAATATGAGTAATCTGTTTACTAAGAATGTTTTTCTTATCGTTAAACAGGTATATGATTTAAGCTTTAATGAAAGTCACACATAAAATTATTACCAATACAGCTTAAAATTTGTTGTAAAAATCAATTTCGAGTAAAATAACAATAGTTGAATACTTGAATACTATTTTTTATTATTAAAACAAAGTCCGCGGTGTTTAA